ACTATGGAAATTAGGTGGATCCTACCACAACAGTTAATTCATACCCTGTTGGCTTACGGCAACATCATGTTAAAACACCGGTTCATCGATGTTAAGCAACGTCGAGGCTGGTCAGTACGTAGATGGGTGACCGCTCGGGAATATCATGTGCTTATAGGGCCTGGTATTCCCGAGCGGTCACCCATCAATTGGGTGGAGGAGTCGAACAGTTTCATTAGCAGGTAGTCTCCTTGCCCTCTTCAGTGACATACTCTGGTGTATTATATTTGGCCCTAACAGTGGCAACAAAATATCAAGGACTTGATGAAGGCCGCATGGTGACCTGCTTTAACAAGAAACCACATGATCCAAGAAGGCAGTTGGATTCCCAAAATTCCATCGGGGCTGCCCTCATTTTGACAGGAGTTTAATTAAGGAGAATTTCTTAGTCGAACAGGCTTACATATTATTTTTTGAATATAATTATTTTTAATGTTTTTCTTTTAATACCTTGTTCTAAATTATTTTGCAAAAAACAGTATATATATATATATATATATATATATATATATATATGTTTGTGTGGGGGTGTAAGTATTAGAGTTATGCAGCTTATATTTTATATCATAAATAAACAATTCATACAAAAAATAAAATAGCAATGTTAATGTGCTTAATGGCGAAATCACTTTGCTAACAGAGCTTAATGAGACATTAAATTACTATCAAATGACAGTTGAATATGTGTTTTTAAGTGTGCGATGCTGCGACACTAGAGTTCTTGTTCAAATCGATCATCAAGTGATAATTTTGCTTGAATTTTGAATTAAAAAAATACGAATTTTTCTTGTTATATGTATTTATCTGTTAAAGTGAAATGGGCTTAGTATAATCCAATTAGTATCTTTTATTATATATATATATATATATATATATATATATATATATATATATATATATATATATATGTGTGTGTGTGTGTGTGTGAATAGTAATTCTTCTATGAGAATCGTAAGGGCAAAAAAGAACAAGTAGTTACAATTTATTCAAGCGTTAATACATCCGGTTCGGCTGTTGCAATGTATTCAATTACCATCAACGTGCACGGTCCTACAATATTCTCACACTACTAAGTAGAATCCAAATTCTTTCACTTTAAGGTGATATAATCAATTTATACTGCGCCCTGCCAGCCATCCCCTACATATACATAAAGGAGTAGTTGTCAGTCCTATGCATAATTAGCCTATGATGTTTATAGATTTATTATATAGCATATTTGGTGTTTTTCATTTTACCTGTTGCGGATATTCCTCGTTTTCGATTGACCTCTGATGATAGAGGATCGCTTAACTGTCTAAGCGTCTTTTTTTTCACTCACGCTATATTGTATATTAATATTACCAAATTACAGTTGTGTAAAACGTCTTTTTTACGCTTTTTGTTATTCTTTACAATTTCTTTTTCTAACATGCCCGTTTTTAATCGCTATTATAGAATTCTGTTAAAAATTATATATATATATATATATATATATATACATAAGGTTCCTGATTTGGATTATAAGTAATTAGTATTCATTGATAATGTGATACACTTCCATGTAAATATCTGTGTTTGAACAGATGCAAACATTAAAGTGAAAAATATTGATGCTCTCGAATAAAAAGAAAATTCTAACTCGATTATCTGAGATTACCGGATCAGAGATCAAATCAGCATTAGCTGCCATAGATGACTTAAAGGACAATTTTTATACATATATACGAAAGCACACGAGCACAAGTTTTCAAGTTAAGAGATTCTAGTGACTTTTGTGCTCATTTACGAAGGGGTAAAAATCAACATCATCACAGAACGTATAGACTTTAGACACTATCGGGAACACACGGTGAGAATCAAATTCATCAAACCACATATATACTTGAGAGACAAGAGAGGACACACGGTGAGAATCAAACACATCACACCACGTAGACGTCCGAGGCATTATTCCTTTATATATATAAATATTAAATTTATTTTTATTTGTCTGCATATTGTGTAGTTTGTTTTAAATCTTTTATTGTTACTCAAACCCACGCTATCTCTTTCGATTTCGTACATCTAAAATCTGAATCCATCCGTTTCCATTCTACAGGTTTTTTAACAAAAGACTGAGGAACATAAATGACGTCAGACTAAAAACAAACACGTGGGAAACACGAAATCACCCACTCATTTTTTTTTTTTTCTTTTGGTGATAAAAAGATTTGCATATAAACGACGGATTTGAAAAAAAAGGCTCGGCACGATATGTGTGTGGAGAAGACAGTTCTTTCATTCATCCGCCTTTGAAGAGAGAAACACACGCTGTGGATATAAATAGTGATCTGAGTCATAAATATAAATTTATTAAATGGTCATCATAATATCGTAAATCCGACACCTACAGCCTGATCAAATTCAAAGAGTTACTTTACAGTTTTATCTCAACCTCTTTGAATCTGAGCGCGAAGAAGAGACTGTATTTGCCAAACAAGAAAATAACATGAAAGAGGATGATATGTTCGAGAAGCTGAGATCTCAGAGAATACTTTAAATAAAAAAGGTGAGATAAGAAAAATAAGTTTATAGTGAAAAGAGCTATAACAGCTACTGCACTTGAGAAATCTGTCTTCCTGAAAAAATGTTTTAAGAGAAAGATTTAATAAGTTTCAACCAGCCATCATTTATTCAGCTTTTTTTTTAAATGCTGAATGTTTTAGGGAAGCAGTTAATATTACGATATGTACCACTGACGATATTTGCAAATTGCATGCTACATGATGAATTCATAAAATAAAGGAGAGGGGGCGCTGAAAGTATATCTATTATTTTTAAATAGGTGTTTAACCAATTTCATCTTTTTTTTATTTATGTTTTAATCCTGTTATCTACCATAAACCTACGAACACTAATGAGTATGTCCCAATTTACATAAATACGTTGGACACAATTCTAAGTAGGGTAATATGCTGTTAAGTAGTTCACCACTAGCAGCGGTTTATATTTTGTCGCCAACAGTTGGCGAGTATTGTATTTTGTTGACGCTATAAAAATGACCATTTCCAACACCCCGTGAATAATGTTTATTATGAATAAACAATTTTTTTAAGAAATTCTATCTATAAAATAAAAACATAAACAGAAAATATATTAAAATAATTGTATGACTTAGCCCATTCCATAATATATGTTGTTATTAGTTTACTTTGCGATACGCTTTGAGCAGATATGACCGTTCGAGAAAAGATCGTGGTAAATTTGTTGTTTAAAAAACAGTAAATTGGACTCTGCTAATCAAACTCTTCCTCTGTAGCTGAGTGGTGGAACACGTCAGAGAAATGACAGTTCCGTGACGGACACAGGTTCGATTCCTGTTTTAGGACTCACATTTTCTCCGAAAATGTTCTTCGGACATACAGGCCGGTAAATGTAATTAATACTGTTCATTATCAACAAAGCATTTAGTTAAATAATTGTGTCTATAAAAATAGAGTAGAAACAGAAAATTTATTAAAATAATTGTTGGACTTAGTCGATTTTATTACATATATAACAGATAAAACCGTATATTTTTCTCTTAAACTGTAGCTTTTTTTTTTTGGCCAATACCTCATTTTGGTGACGAGTAAAATGTTAACGAGAGTCTCCCTGCTTTAGAGGGAGTATATATTAAATAACACATTCAGCCGAGAAGGGGCGTATTCAACATTTGATCATTTTGCGACAGTACGCGCATCAAGGTTTTTAAGCAGTTTTGATCAACTTTTTTTTTCATGGTTAACCTTAATGAAATTTAAAGGTAGGACTACCTTACACTTAAGTAAAATAATAACAATAATAATATTTATTAATAATTTATTACAGGAAATATCAAAAATTTACGGGAACATTCTTAATAATTATGTATTTAGTTACATAATTAAATAAAAATAATATAAATTTTGATGCTATATTCAATTTGTTTTTAGGTATTTTTCATTTTCTCTTTGTTATTTTGGAAAAATTTAAGAATACTATTGGTACAATGATAAGTTTTTGAAGAAACTGGAGCTATTTCATTTACACTTTGATACCTCTTTTTTCCATTGTTGTTTTTAGGTCGCTTTCTTCCAGTCATTTTGATAGGCAATAATAAATTTCTAAAATTTAGAATGATCTTATTCCATTTAAAAAAAAAAACCTTTAAAAAGGAATATTTTAAATTAATATAAGACCAAAAATAAAAAAAAAATTTTGACAAAAAAAAACTTAATGGTTTCATTATAATTATGTAACAATAATGTAATGATATTCCGCAGACAAATCTACGGTTTATGTTAACTCATCTCATTGCATAGTTACGAAATATAAACCTAAATTGAGCTTGAAATATTGTGTCATCAGCTCTAATATTTTTTAAAGTTATTATATATATATATATATATATATATATATATATGGAAAAAAAGATTTTGCATTTATTGTTGACTACGCCCCTCCACAAACTGAACGCGTCAAATTATTCAACTGTCTTTTACCTGACAAAAAATATAGATCTTAAATGAATATTGTTGAATCATCCAAATTATATATAAATTTATTAATAATATTTTTCATTTTAATTAGGTATTATTTCTTGGCACGGTAAACAAAAATGATTGTGTTTCTGTTAATACCTTTTTTTTGTAGATAACTTTTTTTTGATCAAATATTTCAATTTTTTCCTTCTAATTCTCAAACATTTCAGACAGCCAGCTGATTCCCAATGACATCTGCGAACTTTGTTTTACTTATTAGTTTATTTTTTTAAGGTCTATTTTTCAGGTTATTTAGAGCCAGTATATAATTTAAGATTTTATGAATTTTACGGAGATAGTAAAGATTTACTGACAAGCCTCACTAATTAATCCAGGACTTGCGAGAGAAATGGGTTTATAAGTTTCCGAAGGTTATCGAATGTCATGAACCCGATTGGAATTGTAACTCGGCTTTTTGTTCTCCATTACACTATCCGCACACAGCACCTAATATTCCCAAGCAGTCACCCATTTAGCTACTGACCAGGCTCGACGTTGGTTAACTTACGTGATCTTTCGAGATGTGGTGTTCCAACATGATATGGCCGTAAGCCAACTTTCTTGTGATATTTGGCTTATTCCCAACTGTTTAAAGAAGGTTATGTTCTGGGATGAGGTATAATAATTTTATTCTTACTGCATATATCTTAGCATACATTATTGCGGACTATTTCCTTAAATTTTAGAATAATGTTTCTGACAATCTATTTAGAAATACTAAATCCTTTCGAAATGACATCATACACAGGTTGATTTACAGAAGTACATAATGCGGCTATCGTCGTGTAAAATGAAAACGTCGAATCGAGTTTGATATCTGGCCGAGCCTGCTACTTTAATTTTCGCATTAACACCCTTCTGAGAAGTACGAATAAATCTATTCAACCTGCAGCTATGAATAGAATAGCCTCCGGCGGCAACCAGTATAGAACGTAATATTTCCCATTACCTGTCCTATGAAAATTCACAAATAGTAAAGTATAGGAATCTATGGCACGCTTTGAGAGCTAATGTCCCGAAATGACAACATTTAAAATAAATAAAACCAAACTGTATACGTATTTTTTCTTAGTGGGATTTATTTAAGTGAATCAACATGAAACCTTTTAAGTTTAAGTAAATATATAAGTGTTTCTTCGATTTGAATAACTTAAGAAATATACTAACAAACAAAAAAAAATCACACGCATTCCTTAAAATTTTATCATGGCGGAATCTAACTCAAAACGCCATTAAACGGGAGGCAAATGTACTTTCATCCTTTTTATAATCTCTAATTGCCCGGTTAGACGACAGATGTAAATTAAGGTTAACGACAGATCTTATATAAATACCGTTTAGAGTTCATTTATTACAGTGCCACATAGAATGATAGAAGGGAGAGCTGCTAAGCTGTAACAGTACGACGCTTACTGGCGAAGAAAACGTCGTAGTTCGCTGATTGCAAACGTGGAAGTTAAATTCTCGTTTCTATTACTGTAATGATTGAAAGCATCTTGACATTCGCATATATTAAATGCTTTTCGATGCCACGGCTTGTTTCGTTTCTTCCAATAAACCACTTTATGTAATACAGTGTTGAAATTTATAACGGATTCTTTTGTTTGTTTAGATATCGCCAGTTACCTCTGACCAGGTTTGGTGATCACGGCATGTGTCCATCTAATGAAGTTTGACATTCATCTAACTGTAAATAAATGTTTTGTTTCTAGGAATATCATTACAGACCAAAAAATAAAAGAAAATTTTCAATTGCAGCTCAGTTGGATGTCATTTAAACACGGCATGGATAATCATATGTTTTTTTATAGGTGAAAATTTATCGAAGACATTCATCGAGTTTTATTCTACCAGTTTTCCTTCAAATTTTTTCGTTTTTTTTTTCTCCAAAAAATAGCTAAAGTTTAATGGTTAAATAAAAACTACTCGAACATTGAAAACTGATCGTTTTAAATTTTTTTGTTTGGTATGCCTTGTTGCTTAAGGACGCACATATTACTCGGTTCGCCAAAATATATCTCTTTTGTGATTTCTAGTAGAACGCTTAAAGACATGCAATTTGGGAAACAGTGAAAGTAGCTTTTTGAGGGAACTTGCTATGAAAATACTTGTAGAAAAGACAGAGGGGTTTACATGCACATTTTGTGAGATAACGACTTTAGACGGGATGCTTTGCGGACCAACCCAAAGCAATTCGTTCTGGATTTTGTCGAGGATTGATTGTTTGAACTTTTTTATTTTTATGTAGACCATATGTGGCAACAATATTCCATGCAAGGACTAGTGGTTGATTTGAAGGATGGACTCAAACGCTATTCCTCGGTTTTCAAATGTTTCTATATGTGATATTACCTGATAGCAAACTATTCAGATAGTCGAATTTCGGCACCTGCTCCATTTTAACGTTCCCGATATACATTTCATATAGTGTGCTGCCACTTTTCGTCACAATTATGGCTTCGTTTTGTTTACAGCTAACGACGAGGTCTTAGAAAAATGAAAAGAAAAAGGAAATTTATATTTAACATGAAGAAGAGGCAGTGGAAATTTCTGGGGTACGTAATAAGGAAAGAGAGCTTGGAAAACCTGGTACTCACAGGGCAGATTGAAGGAAAGAGGAAAACAGCGCATAATATACTTGATGGGATTGAGTAAGTGTATAATAAAACAGGGTATGGGAGAAATAGCAAAACGACAAAATTATTAAGAGCTACAAGGGACAAGAATATGGGGAGGGCCATGGTCGCCCACGTCCTGAAGGGACACGTTACATAAAAGAAGAAATAAGAAATTCTGTTATAGTTTCTGTTTGCTTTCCTATACTACTTTAAAGAGATTTCTTAGATTTCTTTCCGAGTGTGGTAACATGACAGTGTCGCCTACCTCTCTTGTAGTGTTAAAATTATGTCCGCTGATAAAAGAAAATCCTTGTAGTTTTTCTGGTTCTCTGAGAATAGACTCGCTATATAAGTTAAATAAAACTAACACACAAACCTTATTACCATCTCATATATAAAAAGTCAAATAACCAAAATCAGTTATTTACTTTAGGGCCCGAGAATTCACTATCGGTAGCGTTAAAGTCAACAAAATTATTACTTTACCACTGGCAGTGTTTCCAGTTTTTTTATGCGGTCTTTTTGAAATTGCACCTGCTTAAGGGAAGATATAAATATTTTGTTTAAAGCAAACAAGGAGAGCTGGCGAATGGATTATGTTTTTCAACTCAACCGATTTACTAATCCACTTTAATATTTCATATTTTTTGATGTATATATAAAAAAAAATGAATCCAATGTATGAACTTTCCAGTTTAAAGGGGTTTTATTAAACACAGCACAATGTGTGATTTGTATTCAATAAATCCATTTTCATGGATTTAATTAACAAGTGTCTTTGTGCCTTTTAAATTTTCAGGGTTTATTTAAACACACCGAAATATGTGTACATAACCTTCCACTTTCAAAGGGTTTTTATTAAATACAAACCTAAATGTATGTTATCTTTTCCCTTTTAAATGTGTATAATTAAAATTTTCAAGGGTTTCATTATATTCACCACACGATGTATAACATACCCAAATAAATTGTTATTTGTTGATAAACAAATCCTCGCCTTGTTCGTTTTAAATTCACTTGTTTAAATGCCTTTCTTTATCATTGGTATACGTTGAGACTGCACACTGAATAATTAATAATCGCTACCACTAACTTGTACGGGTTAGCCACAAGAACTAAACGTGTTCTGCCCCCCTCCCAGTCAACTAGCTCAATAACCTGCTTCTGAGAAAGACACCCTCACCCCCAAAAAATCTGCATCTTTTTCTAACGTTAGGTATACAGTGAACACATTACCTATTCGCATGCACATGGTTTTCTTTACTGCATTAAGAAAAAAAAATATGATCTCATTAACAATGGCGATTTCTGTTAGGTTTCACAAATCTTGTTTTTGGGATTTTCTTTTTCTGTCGTCAATCATTTTATAATATATTATGTCTTATATATATATATACACGTTTCATTAAATAATATACTTCATACTTCTCCAATTCACACCTCGTGTGGTCATGTGTGACGTCATGAGATGCGGTGCGATTTTCGCTTCTAGCGTCTTATATGCACGTGTTTATCGGTGCTTAGAGATCATCTATGTAAACATTGACAGACAGTCATCACTGTCTTGTCCGTATATTGCTCAATATGTTGTAATTGATATCTTTGATAATGGCTTATGTAAACCGAAAGCTTAGATTGTATTAAAAAATATGGATCAATATTGTGAATTTCTTTCTTCGTTCAACGATAATGTTATTAAACTTATCAGAGGTTATGAAAAAATTTACCTAAAATAAATAGACAACACTTGTCTATATTATTTAATGAAACGTGTATGAATGAAAAGATGTTGCCTAAATATACACATAATATATATATATATATATATATATATATATATATATATATATATATATATGTGTGTGTGTGTAACGTGCGCCTGTCGCTAAATGCAACAGAAATTTTTCATTTGATAATCTGTTTTAGCGATTCTTTCCATTTGCCGTGCATGTCAGTTTTCAGTGGATGGAAGAGAAAAACTAAATTCGATTTCCAAGCGCTTTCAATCATCATTGATGGTCATCAGTGGGGATATATATATATATATATATATATTTTTTTATTTCTTCTATGCTATATTGTCTGCTTTTATTGAATTGGGTGCGAGAATTGTTGCTTCACAGAAATTTATTATTGGCTGGTTGTTAAGCATTACGAATTGGTTGTGTCAGTTTAAATTTTCGCATGCAGTTTAATAAAAAAGCCAAAATTTTAACACACAAGATGTGAATGATATATCACCCCTGATGACAATAAATGATGATCGAAAGCTCGTGGAAAGAGGATTTAAGGTTTCTCTTCCATCAACTGGAATATGGCACACGAAAAATTCTACGAGATATAGAAAGAAAAATAAAAAAAATATGATTATCAAAAACAAATCTTGATCCATGGCTGAACAATGATCAGCGCGCACAAACACACACACACATATATATATATATATAAATCGGAGAGCCGAGTTCGAATTCCAGTCGAATCCATTACTTTCACTTACGTTGCTAATACTCTTCGGAAAGGTGTGAATACTCTTCTTCTCCCTCTAGCTATGGGTAAAATAGCAGGACAGACTGGGTTCTATAGCCTTGGACAGCAACTGGTCTAGGAGAGGGACAACTCTGAATTCAAAACCTGCGGAGGGTCGTTTGGGGACCTTGTGGCAAGTAGTGCATCAGGTCTCTGTATTCGACCCTTCAAAAAGTGTGGATGGTCTTGCACGAAACCTTCACCACTATCATCAAATCTCATGTGCTGTTGTCGGCCTGTCGGTTTCCTAGAGACTAATCTGCTTGACCCTCATACTCGACGGGAGAGAGAGTCGAGTGTATGTATATATATATATATATATATATATATATATATATATATATATATATGTATGTGCGTGTGTGTATATTTGGGGAGCAATCCCTCTTTTATATAAGTTTCGTTAA